CAGTGTGCACATGCAAAATCTCTTTAGTAAGCTCTGAAAAATATCTACACAGCCACTTTTTGTAGTATATTCTTTTATTGTTCTCAGAAGTAGCAAAGATCAAAGTGAAAAAGTCAACTTTATGATGCCACATACAATACAGCATGCAGATAGTAGATGGTTGTTTCATATGTTTCTGAAATGCTCAAATGGGTCCCCAAAAGTTCAGCTGAATTCCAGGTATCATCTACAGATCACAGAAGATTAAGAACCGTATGCTCGTCATTTTACAACTGGCATCAGTGTGTTAATGTGCAGAGACTGAGATACACAGCAGATATTACAGTACATCATTGGATCTAGTAAAGCACATGTAAATGTAAAATACCAATTGGTGTACATTTATATACAGAAGTCAAACACCGTACTGTGCTCTAACGTGAAGCATTTCTGAAATAATTTGCTGCCTATACAAAAATCTACAAGCGCTCATTTTAGTATTCACATACGAGAACTGTTAAAAATCATCTGCTCGTTTATATCTTTTTTCTTTGACATCAACCTTTGACTTGGCAACTACAGTTAAAGTAACAGTAACACCTAAAAGTAACTATAATTAATAAATGGTAAATTAATAGAGGATAAAACTGTAGCTAGTAGCTTTTTCCTGTTAACAGACAATGATATCAAATCAAAACTCGAGTGCGTTCTGACACAACGTGTGTCATCTTATTATATCTGTTACAACATTAGTAAGTTATTAGCAAAGGTGGAAAGTGACGAATTACCTTTACTTGCGTTACTGTAATTGAGTAGTTTTTTTGTGTATTTGTACTTTTTAAAGTCATTTTTCAAGTCGGTAATTTTACTTTTACTTAAGTATATTTTTTAAAAAGTATTGTACTTTGCTACATTTTCAATCACATGTTACTGAGTAAATTAAAAGAACAAACAAAAAACAACAACAACATTGCGCTTCGGAAATACTGCAGGGAATGATGGGTAGTAGAACAAATTGGCGTTGGGTCACGATAAAGATGGAGTCTGACATCGGTACTACAGATCCAGCGAAAAAAGAAACCCCGTCGAATTCTGCTGACCCTGACCTCGAAGAAACCGATGTGAACCCCTGGCCGTATTTAAGGGATCATTTCGGCTTCAAGTGCAAGAAAGGCAACAGGTTTATTATGCAGTGTAAGCTGAGTTTGCCCAGAGAGACCGAGTTAGCAGCTTTTAAAGATTCCACATCAAACCTGCGCGAGCATGTAGAGGTAAGTTAAATGAAACTTGTACATTTATTTTTAAAAAGGCTGTGCTCAAGTTAATCACATTAAGTTAAGACATAAGCTGTTATTGGGCACGTTGTTGTCCATGCAGCTTAATTTTTTTTACTGGGTCGGTAAATTGCCAAAAGAAAATGTGTTTACTTACATTTTTCCTGTTTGTTAATAATAATAATTTATTTTAAAAATAGTTAAATTAGACAGAAGCGGCTACTTTCTTACTTAAACCCACATATGTTCACACTGCAGGCAAAAGAATAACATGTGCTTTGTGCAGAGGTGTTTTTTTCTGATCTCAAACTGATCTCCCTGTTGCAGCTCAGTCTGGGGGGAGTTCTTTTTTTCTCCTTATCTTTCCTCATGTTGTGCGTTTTCCGTTGTTATACCTCTCTGACCTGTCTCACCATGTGATGTTTGTGTAACGTATGTATGGTCAGAAGGGTAAGATGGCGCTGGCAAAGGTCGGCAGCCTTAACCCAATTTCCTTCGGGGTCAACCTTCAGGATCAATAAAGTTTTATTGAATTGAATTGAATTGCTCCTCAAATTTAACAGAGCAGGGCCAAGTTTAAAAAATTTAAACACATTTTTATAGCAGCTGGCGTACAGCTCAGTTCAGTACTTGTTCTCTTATTTGACAGGTTAGATTCTCATGTAAAGAATTATATGGTTTTGACAGTTTGGTTGGTTTGGTGACCATTAT